CATACTGTGGAGTCCTGCTCAGCCATACAGATGTGGCACGTGCACACACTTACATACTGTGGAGTCCCTGCTCAGCCATACAGATGTGGCCACGTGCACACACTTACATACTGTGGAGTCCTGCTCAGCCATACAGATGTGGCCACGTTGCACACGTACGTGCACCACTTACATACTGTGGAGTCCTGCTCAGCCATACAGATGTGGCATGTGCACACACTTACATACTGTGGAGTCCTGCTCAGCCATACAGATGTGGCACGTGCACACACTTACATACTGTGGAGTCCTGCTCAGCCATAAGAGTGGCACGTGCACACACTTACATACTGTGGAGTCTTGCTCAGCCATACAGATGTGGCACGTGCACACACTTACTACTGTGGGAGTCCTGCTCAGCCATACAGATGTGGCACGTGCACACACTTACATACTGTGGAGTACTGCTCGCCATACAGATGTGGCATGTGCACACACTACATACTGTGGAGTCCTGCTCAGCCATACAGATGTGGCACGTGCACACACTTACATACTGGTGGAGTCCTGCTCAGCCATACAGATGTGGCACGGCACACACTTACATACTGTGGAGTCTGCTCAGCCATCCCGGTGTAAGGTGCACGTGCACACACTTACATACTGTGGAGTTCCTTTGCTCAGCCATACAGATGTGGCAAGTGCACACACTTACATACTGTGGAGTCTGCCTCAGCCATACAGTGTGGCGGTGCACACACTTACATACTGTGGAGTCCTGCTCAGCCATACAGATGTGGCACGTGCACACACTTACATACTGTGGAGTCTGCTCAGCATACAGATGTGGCAGTGCACACACTACATACTGTGGAGTCCTGCTAGCCATACAGATGTGGCACGTGCACACACTTACATACTGTGGAGTCCTGCTCAGCCATACAGATGTGGCACGTGCACACACTTACATACTGTGGAGTCCTGCTCAGCCATACAGATGTGGCACGTGCACACACTTACATACTGTGGAGTCCTGCTCAGCCATACAGATGTGGCACGTGCACACACTTACCATACTGTGGAGTACTGCTCAGCCATACAGATGTGGCACGTGCACAACTTACATACTGTTGGAGTCCTGCTCAGCCATACAGATGTGGCACGTTGCACACCACTCTACATACTGGTGAGTCCTGCTCAGCCATACAGATGTGGCACGTGCACACACTACATACTGTTGGAGTCCTGCTCAGCCATACAGAGTGGCACGTGCAATTACCTCGTGGAGTCATGCTCAGCCATACAGATGTTGGACTCGTGCACACACTTACATTACTGTGGAGTCCTGCTCAGCCATACAGATGTGGCACGTGCACACACTTCATACTGTGGAGTCCTGCTCAGCCATTACAGATGTGGCCACGTGCCACACAATTACATTATGTGGAGTCCTGCTCAGCCATCAGATGTGGCACGTGCACACACATACTGTGGAGTCCTGCTCAGCCATACAGATGTGGGCACGTGCACACACTACATTAACTGGTGGAGTCTCCTGCCCAGCCATACAGATGTGGTACGTGCACACACTTACATACTGTGGAGTCCTGCTCAGCCATACAGATGTGGCACGTGCACACACTTACATACTGTGGAGTCCTGCCCAGCCATACAGATGTGGCACGTGCACACACTTATATACTGTGGAGTCCTGCTCAGCCATACAGATGTGGCACGTGCACACACTTACATACTGTGGAGTCCTGCTCAGCCATAAGAACGGGTGAAACCCTGCCGTTTGCCACAACGTGGATGGACCCGGAGAAGGTGATGCTACACGAAAGGAGTCAGGCGGAGGAAGCTGAGAACCGTGATTTCATGCCCATGTGGGACATGAAACTGAAACTCAGAGTCACAGACAGACGCACTGTGGCGGTTACCAAGGGAAGGGGGGCAGCACAGGGTAAACAGCCCACTGCAGGGTGACGGAAGATGCCTTGACCTTGGGTGGCGGGCACACAGTGCAAGGATACCAGATCGTGTATCATCGGCTGTACGCCGAGAACCTGTGTGATCTCATTAACCATCATCACCCTGAGCATTTCATACGTTGATAAGAGGGAAGCAGGGGGTGTATCTGCTTCCTCTCCAAGGGGTTCGGCCCGGTTAACCACGCATGCGTAATTCAGATGATGTGCTTCACGACCTCATGTGTTTTCTAGATTAAAAACAAAATTCCCTCCCCAAACCCTCTATATTCCTGTCCCAGTAAAGTGGCTTCTCTCCTGCGGCTGTTCCACAGCCCCGACTCTGCTCATTCAGACGGGCTGTCCGCACCCGCTGTCCCCGCTGCTCCGGCCTGTGGTCCGCGCTGGGCCTGGGCCCCGCTGGGCTCTGGGCCCGCGCACCTCGTGGTCCCGACGTGAGCCCGTCGAACACGCAGGTCAGGGCTTCCCACCGGGTCCGATGTGTGACCGCACTCAGCGGGGGCTGGATCGCCCTCCAGGGTGCGGCTCGTGTTCCTACTCTCCCAGACCCAGCCTGAGGTTTCACCTGAGCTGTCTTTACACTCAGGCCGGATCCCGAGGGGACAGTTCCTGCAAACGCCGCTTTCCATTCTGCCCTCGGACATCGTGTTCTTGAAGGACGGGAAGAGGCGTCACTAATTTCCAAGGTCGCCGGCTCCCGGTCTGAAAGCTGGAACGTACCGTCTGCCGGGGGGAGACTGAACAGCTGTTTTAAAACATGGTTATGTGCCCGGCCGGTGTGGCTCAGTGGCTGAGCGTCGACCCTGCACCAAGAGGTCGCCGGTTCGATTCCCGGTCAGGGCACATGCCCAGGTTGTGGACCCGATCCCCAGTGGGGGGCGTGCAGGAGGCGGCCAATCAATGTTCTCTCTCATCGATGTTTCCATCTCTCTCTCCTTCTCCCTTCCTCTCTCTCTGAAATCAATAAAGGAAAAAATTAAAAAGCAAACAAACAAAAACCCTGGTTGTACATGGTTGGTCGTGGAGATGCTGAGCCAGAGCTCTTCCGACCTGACGTTCTCCCCAGCGGAACCCTCGGTCACGTGCGTGTCCGTGGTCATGGGCCCACGCTGCCCTCACGTGTGTGTCTGTGGTCGTGGACCCGTGCTGCCCTCGCCTGCGTGTCCGTGGTCGTGGGCCGGCGCTGCCCTCATCTGCGTGTCCGTGTCCGTGGGCCCGCGCTGCCCTCACGTGCGTGGCCGTGGGCCCGCGCTGCCCTCGCCTGCGTGTCCGTGTCCGTGGGCCCGCGCTGCCCTCACGTGCGTGTCCGTGGCCGTGGGCCCGCGCTGCCCTCACCTGCGTGGCCGTGGCCGTGGGCCCGCGCTGCCCTCACTTGCGTGTCCGTGTCCGTGGCCCCGCGCTGCCCTCACGTGCGTGTCTGTGGGCCCGCGCTGCCCTCACCTGCGCGTCCGTGGCCGTGGGCCCGCGCTGCCCTCACGTGTGTGTCCGTGGCCGTGGCCCCGCGCTGCCCTCACCTGCGTGTCCGTGGCCGTGGGCCCGCGCTGCCCTCACGTGCGTGTCCGTGGCCGTGGGCCCTCACGTGCGTGTCCGTGGTCGTGGGCCCACGCTGCCCTCCCCGTGGAGCATTTTCTTGCCTCTGGGAGTTTCTCTCTGTTCAGCTGCCAGAAGTTTATAAAAATATAGACGCAGTTGTGGCTTATTTCTGCCTAAAATCTTCAAGGCCCCTCACTGTCCTCGGTGTGGCCATATTCGTGGGCTTTAGCCCCCCCTCACCGTGCCCGGCCCAGGCACGCTGTGGGCTGCCTCTGACCACCCTGCCCTTTTTTCTGCTGCCCCCGGTCCTGGACGCCTGTGGGGTTCCGCACCCCTGCTCCAGGGCACATGCAGCAGGGCGCAGACTGTTCCCCATCATCAGCAGCCCCACCCCCAACTCAGCTGGGCCCAGACCCCCCGCCTCCACGCGCATGCACTTTGCTGAACAAGCTCATCCTGCAGCTCGGCCTCCGTGCTGATTCTTCAAAGGAGCCTCGTCCCGGGAAGGGCTCCCCGGCTATTTCCGCGCTTGGGTGTGCTCGTCTTAAACGGGGCAATAACAGGGTCTGCCTCGTAGAATTCCTGGGGCTGTTGTGGGCACCAAATGTGATGATGCCCATCGAGAGCGTCCTGTGCACCCCAACATGGACGCACGATGGGCTCCTTCGTCTGTTTCCTCATCACATTGTCACATGTCTCATCCCTTGACACCTCGAGTTCTGGGGTGAACGGGGTTGGGCCTGACTCGCTCTCAGCTGCATCCCCAGTGCTCAGCACAGAGCACCCCACAGAGGGTATGCTGGGTGGGCTGTGTACTGTGAATGAATGAATGGGCATCTTCTCAAAAATTGTATGCAAATCTTTTATTATTTTAATTTTTTCTTAATTGATTTTTAGAGCGAGAGGAAGGGAGAGGGAGAGAGATAGAAACATGGATGAGAGACTGGCCGCCTCCTGCACGCCCCCCACTGGGGATCGGACCCACAACCTGGGCATGTGCCCTGCCCAGGAATCGAACCAGCAACCTCCTGGTGCAGGGTCGACGCTCAACCACTGAGCCACACTGGCTGGGCTGTATGCAAATGCTTTAAATAAACAATCTAATTACTAAGGAATCCGCAGAGATTCATTGCGTTTTGGTCCGGCACGGCAGAGGGAGACCGTTTTCCTTGCCTCGGTCAGATGGATGGCGCCCAGCAGACTCACGTCCAGAGGACGCCCGACATGACTTCTGACATCACCAGGCGCTTGACCCCTGGGGGCCCGTGCACGGGTGGCTGAGCTACACGTCCTTTTCCGGCCTCGGGGTAGATGTTGAATGGTCCCCTTGACATCTGAGGGTCAGCAAGTCCTGTTTGTAAACAAGCAGCGAACAAGCTGGTGACCTGGGTCCGGCCCTTCCACCCCTTGGCATCAGCTGTCCGGGCCCTCGGCCTCCTGGTCGGCCTTTGGCGGGAAGGGTCCTGACCGTGGTCAGCGTGGGTCTGGTTCTCTCCCCAGGAAATCAGCGACCCGGAGATTCTGGACCTGGTCCACAGCGCCCTCGGCAGGATGACCGTGGTCCGGCAGATCTTCCCAGCGGCCAAGGACAACCAGAAGTGCATGAGGAACAACCACCGAATCTCCTCCTTGCTCTGTGACCCCCAGGAGGGCTACCTCCAGATGCTGCAGGTCAGTGCCCCCGCCAGCTCCCCCGGGGCTGGCTCCCCCACGCCCGGCTGCCCACCAGCTCTAAGCCGTTCAGACTCTGTTGGAAGCAGAGCTCGGGAGCGTCTCTGAGCAGCGTCAGGGACGTGGTGGCCTCATCAGCAGACAGGTCCTGTGAACCCACTGCCGCCTCTTGTATTAAAGCTGCCCTGGCCGGTTTGGCTCACGGTTGGAGCGTCGGCCCGCGGACCAGAGAGTCCCGGGTTCGGTTCCCGCTAGGGGCACGTACCTCGGTTGCAGTTCATCCCTGGCCCGGTTGGGGTCCTGTGGGTGGCAGCCAGTTGATGTGTCCCTTTCACATCGATGTGTCTCTCTCTCTCTCTTCCCCCCTCTCTCCCTCCCACTCTATCTGAAGGTAAATGCAGAAAGGTCCTCGGGTGAGGTTAAAAAAGAAAAAAATAAATAAATAAGTAACAGTGACATGCTCAGGGAGTCAGGAGCTTCCTGTCTGTTAGGCGTCTGTGATGATTTGTTTGTGGGGGATGGGTCAGGACTGGGGAAGGAGCCCCCCCCCCCGTGGGATTCATCATTTCAAGCCTGGTTACGGTTCTTCCCTGTCGGAAGTCACAATATGAACATGTTCTTGCGACATTTCAGGGGCTGGCCCGGCTGGTGTGCTGAGCACGGAGGCTTAGGTCAGTCGGGACGGTGCTCAGCTGCCCACCTGCTCCGGCCCCTCCCGCCCCCAGCAGGTGCCGCCGGGATGGGGTGTGGAGCTGTGCTCCTGCCGAGGGCTGGTTTTCTCCTGGGCATTTGGGGGGCAGTGAAGTGTGGGGGACACTGCCATTGGCAGCCTCAACTGCTTCTCTAGTGAGCGCGTCCGGCCCGAGCAGACGCCCACTGACACCTGGTGGGAGCCAGGTGATGGGACATTCTTCCAGCTGGGTTTGTGGAAATGGCCCAGGAGTGTGTACATGCGACATGCTCGCCACTCAGCTAAAACCAGTTTCATCTGCCCGGCCGGTGTGGCTCCCTGGTGAGCGTCGACCCTGCACCGAGAGGTCACTGGTTCGGTTCCTGGTCAGGGCACACGCCCGGGTTGTGGGCCTGATTCCCAGTGGGGGGCACGCAGGAGGCGGCCAGTCGATGTTCTCTCTCATCGATGTCTCTCTCTCTCTCCCTCTCCCTTCCTCTCACTCTAAAAACAATAAAGAAAAAAATTAAAAAAAACAAAAAGAATGAATAACCTTAAATAAAATAAACCTAGTTACATCTTTTCAGCCAGCCGGGCATGAGGACGGATGTCGGGTCTCAGGACAGTGTGTTCCAGCCGAGCGCCCGTCTTCCCGGGGTGCTGGGTGGCACCTGTCAGGGATGCGTGTCCGGGGGGTCAGCAGACGCCGGCGTGGGCGGGTGCGTGTGTGGTTTGACAAAGCACTGACTCCCTCCTGCACTCTGGTATCTGGCATGGGTGGGGGCCCCCGGAACCCGTCCTCACAGAAGCTCAGCAGACTGGCTTCTAGCGGGAGTAGGTCCCACGCTCCACGGTCACCCCCGGGAGCCATCAGAATGTCTGGGTCTTCGACGATGGCGAAAGGTTTGGCCGAGACAGTGGACCAAAGGCCTCTGCAGGACCCGGGGACTCGAGAGCCCCGGCGCGTGGGCCAGGAGGAGAGGCGGGTGCTAGGGTAGGTCTTCTGTTTTGGCTCTGCTGGCCGGCTCTGCTCCCCAATGTCCTGCTTCGGAAGAAGAGACGAGGGCCAGGTCCCTATGACCCTGTGCCCTGTGGTCACCACCCTGCTCTCTGTGGGGGGCCAGCGGGGTGGGCGGTGTGGCTCAGGCAGTGTGGGCGCAGCCCGCATCCCCGCATTCCCACATCCTGCGTCCCCACCAGGGCAGGAGGAAGAGGCCCCACTGTCTGGAGCCAGACGCTGGAGGGTCCCCCAGGGTCTCGCTCATGCAGGGCTCCCCTTCCCGAGCACACGCCAGCCGCACCGTCCATCTGTCCGGCCTGGCCTGGCAGTCACACTGCTCTTCTGCTGGAGGAGCCCAGGAGGGGCTGGAGCCCAGGAGGGGCCGCTTCCCGGAGCCCAGGAGGGGCTGGAGCCCAGGAGGGGCCGCTTCCCGGAGCCCAGGAGGGGCCGCTTCCCACGGCCGCGCAGTGGGGTCGTGCTCTCTGAGGCCTGTGCTTCCTCGTTCTGCGTGCCCTGGAGGTGCCCGTGGACTCGCTGGTGCACACGGACCTCTGGACGGACAGATCTGACCTGGAGCATAGACAGAAGGGAGCTGATGAGACTGAGGAGGAATCGGGTGAGCCGGGCTACAGTGACCACCCCCAACAAGAGCAAGACACAGCTCCGAGGGGTGTGCTAGTCATCACCAAGTTTGATCAGTACAGTATCAGGCCTGGACCCTGGCCGCACCACCTCTCTGTTCCTGCTGAGACCCAGGGGCTCCATGGAGAGCAGATGAAAGACCTCATAGCAGCAGGAGGACAAGCAGGAGCAGGAGGAGCAGCAGGAGCAGCAGCAGCAGGAGTAGCAGCAGCAGCAGGAGTAGCAGGAGCAGCAGCAGCAGTGGAATGGGAGCCAGATTGCTTGGGTTCAAGTTCCAGTAACTCAAGTACTAATGAGTCATCATTATCATGTATTTGTCATTCCGTGTTTCAGGTTCTCCTTCTGTAAACTGGGGATTGGAATCGTTCTACCCCGTAGAGTCATAGTGGAAATCCCCTGAGCGAACACATAGGACGTGTTGGAATAAGTCTGAGTTATTAGCGGTGTCACAAGGTGGAGGTGGCCAGGTGTCAGCGTTTCCATGGGAAGGATGGACACGACCTCGTGTTCTGTGGGCTGTCCTGCACCCCCCTTCCTGAGCATCCCCTTCGAAGGCACCCCTGCAGGTGGCCGAGCCTTGATCATCCGTCCAGCCCCATGTCCCGGGGTCACCCCTGCCTGTCCACCTCCCTGCCGTCCAGCCCATGTCCCAGGGTCACCCCTGCCTGTCCACCTCGCTGCCGTCCAGCCCATGTCCCAGGGTCACCCCTGCCTGTCCCCTCGCTGCCGTCCAGCCCATGTCCCAGGGTCACCCCTGCCTGTCCACCTCGCTGCCGTCCAGTCCATGTCCCAGGGTCACCCCTGCCTGTCCACCTCGCTGCCACTGCTGTTAGAGTTCCTCTCTGGGAAGGGGCGGCCGCGTCTGGGACGCGCTGAGCTCCCCCCAGGCCCTGCTCCCAGCCCTTTCATGGGGGTGGAGGGGGTGGCTCTGTTAGGGATGCAGGTCTTAGCACAGTGCAGCGGTCTCTGGGAGCCTCCATGAATCCGTAGATGAAACACTATTAAAGGGTCTCCGTCACCGTGTCTGCTCCCATGTGGGGGCTGTGACAAAGGCAGCTCCCTCCCGCGTCCCAGCCGCCCCTTGGGCTCCCGGCCACCAGCGCGTCCTTCCTCCCCAGCGGTCCTGCTAGCCTCCGGCTGTGGCTTCACCGAGGGACCAACATGCTCAGAACAGCCCGCTCCAGGAAAACAGGCACGTCACGGGCGATTAGCTGGGTGTTCCCGCGCGTGTTTCCTCCACAGGCTAGTTTGGGGCTCGTCTGAGCCAGCCAGTGAGGGGAGGGATAAGCAGACACGGCGGCCGTGCTCGGAGGAGGATCAGGAGGCGCCCGCTCTCGGAGCCGCGCACCTCCCAGGCTCAGGGGAAGCAGCCGACACGCTGTCACTCCGCCACCGTTCTGTCCAAAGCGTTTCCGAGCGAGGACAGGCCAGCAGCACAAGCTGCGTTGCCTGGTGGCTATGGCGCGGGTCCTGGGGTCAGTCGTGGGCCCGATTAGCATATGAGCTGCTCCCCCGGGTTGAGAGCTCTCTCTCCTGTGCACTGAGGATCGTCCTGTGGCAGGTGGACCTTGCGTCTCCTCCGCTCCGTCTGTTGAAGCCTCTCTCCAAGGCTTTCTGTGTCCCCCCGACTCACGCATGGTCGGCCAGGGAGCAGACTCTTCTCCGGAGCTCCCCGGGCTGCCCTGGGCTTCAGTCCCCGTCGCGGGGCTGCTGCACCCGGGAGACCCCATGGAGCAGCGTGCGCCGGGGTGGGGACGCGGCCAGTGATGCACAGGTGCCTTGGGTGCAGCTGGCGGCCACTCTGGCTGCAGGTGGCCACGCACCTTTGGAACTAGAAACCCTCTGGTGAGGGCAGATGCCTCCCCCACAGCCTCCCCTTGGATAAAGCCCTGGCCGAGCTGCCGTCCCCTCTGCCTCTGCCGCCATCTGCTCCCTGCTCCGTCTGCTCCTGCTGCCCTGTCCCTGGACAGGTGGGCTGGCGGCTGTGGGGACAGGCCGGCTAGAGGACGGACTTCTCAAGCTGTGACATCTGGGCGCTAGCTTGTCCTCCCCGCTGGACCCTCTGCTGGCTGCCTGTCCGACTTCGCTGGACGACCGGAGCCTGTCTGAGGGTCTAGTGCGAGGGCGGCCCTGCCGCCTGTCTCTGGGGGCTCTCCCTGTAGGGCTGCCCGGCTCGGCCGATGACAGGAAGGGGCTCTCTAGACGCCCGGAGGGGGTGCAGCAGCCCGTGCCCCTGGGTTTCAGCGTTGGGGCGCGGCCGACGCAGCCAGCCTGCAGCTCTCTCCGGGCCTGCGTCCGTCTTCCTCGGCCTCCGAGGATGATTCTCACCCTGAAAACGCGTGTGCACAGCAGTTCCCGGGGCCCCGAGTGCAGTGGGAGGGTCCGGGCGGCCCCCCCATGTGACTTGCCTCATTGTCGGAGCATGGAGCGCCAGCCGGCTGCAAGCAGGGCCCTGGCTCCCGACCTCCCCCCGTCCGACGGGGTGGCACGCGCCAGCCGGCTGAAGTCCAGATGGGATGGCAGTGTACAGGCTCAGGGCCGCTCAGCGTGTCTCACAGGGGCTCAGTTTTCATTACTCCTGCTCTGACCCTGCCTCTGAGGACGCAGCGAGTGAACCGAGTATCTGACGGGGCTGCCTTCACCCCGACACTGACCCAGGCGTGGGATCGGTGCCTTTCCTGGTTCCCA